AAGAATTACTTATGCTTAATTGGAAGATTGAAAGAGAGAGAGGGTGTTGATCTCCCATGCAAAAGAAGACGACTAAATTTGTCAGCTGAGTGGTGGTTCTAGACAAGTCAACACTCGTTCAACAGACATATCAACCTCATCAACCAAAAAAGACGTGAATGATAACGCAATCCCAGCCATGCTCCTTTTCGCGCCATTAAACCTTAGTAGCCCAGGCTAATGGGTTCAGACTGGTGGTTTCGTAACTTGACTCTCACATGTACACACTAACATCTCATCAATTGAATCAGGGAACTTTCGGGTTAACGAGATCTCGGTCATCCTTTTTTCTTTTCTTTTTTATTTGGGTCAATTAGCCATGATGACCCGGAGCTGATGATGAGCTTTTTTCTAATTACTCTGATTTATGACCGGTTTTGCGTACAGGCGTTAACATATATACACACACAGACACATTCCATATCCAGCTATATCTTAAATTTTGCTCGCAATGAGTGCACATATCATGTCTTCTTTATTTAGTGTTAACTTGAGGCTATTACGAGAATAAGTACCAGCTCTGACGATATTTGACACATGACGAACAAAATATCAGCTTGTTTTTGACCTAAATATTAGCGGATGTCTCGTGAATTGCATCATCCAGAACGTCATACTAACATCAAACGGCTGCAGTACAACGCAAGTCAGCCGACGTCTTCTGGTGAGATCGACCTATGAATCTCTTCATCATGCACTTCCATACGAAATGAAAGTCTTCACATTAATCTTATCTCAGCACATTCTTCGAAACCTGCATTTTCTTAGTATATGTAACGTTGGTTGTTTTGTCCATTTACATATACTCCCTAATCTTACCCTTTGATTTCAAGTTCATTAACCCGCAAAACATTGTGCTTTGGACCAGGCTATTGAGTGTCATGTTTTGACACATGTGTCCAGCACTCTTAAATGTATGGACCCATAGAGCTTCACAAACGGTTTTGTGTTCGCATAGTCTCTTGTGCTTGGATCGGCAGATCTCCCAGCACGGACCTTACCACATGAGCACAAAGCATTGTAGCAGCCTGATCCAGAAATAATGCCTACATATTATCTAAACGAAAGAACTACTGAAGAAACTGTTAATTTCTCTTTATAAATTGGTCCTATATTCCATGTCCTCAGTAGATACCCCGACATTTTCGCAATTTAAAAAGAAGGCAAAATCGGGAATCGAGTAGAATTGTCCAATTGTCTATCCCACCCCAGATAGCAAGCTCTCCTCATCCCATTGCTGATAAATGATATGTAATTGTCTACTAATTCTAATGGATACTTGCTTTGAAACAGTACATTCCTCAATCTACCGATCTTCTGGTTCTTTTGGTTTACATCTGCTAGACGAAGACTCCTTATTATCGCTGATTTCATAATTCTTATTTTGACTCAATATGTATGAGAGGTATTTAAGCTATTTCTTCTACTGTGATTATGGACTGGTAGTTGAATTTTCCCACAATGATTTGAATAAAGTAGACGTTTCTATTGAATTTCACTTGGCCTTGCTTTCCCAAAAGGTGTTCTTATCAAGGGGGGACTGCAGTTCGAGCTCACATAGGTCTTATCAACAGCCCCAACGGGACTCGAACCATGGCAATGCAGCGTGTAATCTCGACATGTTAGCCACTACGCCACATTGACACGAATGCCCTTGGGTCACAGGGCAGATGTGCATTTCAATTTGTGTGGTTGAATAAGAAATTATTAGGAAAACACGCGTGTGTGTTTTCTATCTACATAGCTTAATACTTTCTTTGCTCACTAATACATCAAAAAAAGGATATTTATTTTCCTTTTATTACTCCATAATAAACTTAATCTTAGCATATATCCTATCTATTATCTCAAAGAATTCACCTAAACTATCTTTTATGTGTTGCCAGATAGCAAATTAATCGTCTGCATAATGAAATAATTAATTAAGTGCCTCTTGAGAAGCACTAAAATACGGGCTAAAC